TGGGAATGGCCAAGTTCACCTTGGGAACGCATCCATATCGATTTTGCTGGACCATTTATGAACAAACAGTTTTTGATTATAGTCGACGCACACTCTAAATGGCCAGAGGTGTTTCCAATGAACAAGATCACAGCAAAACGCACTATTGAGGTACTACGCTCAGTATTCGCAAGAAACRGCGTACCACAGCAGATCGTTTCTGACAATGGACCGCAATTCACGTCAGAGGAATTTCAAACATTCATGAAGAGCAATGGAATTCACCATTTTAGATCAGCACCGTTCCATCCTGCAACGAATGGACAAGCAGAAAGATTCGTGCAAACCTTCAAACAGAGTATGAAGGCAATGAAATCAGAATCAGCCTCTTTAAACAAGAAGATGGCAAATTTCCTACTGATATACCGCAACACACCTCATGCTACCACTAACGAAACACCWGCCAAAATGTTCCTTGGTCGAAACATACGTTCCCGTCTGGATTTGATGAAGCCAGATGTAAAAAGTACAGTGCAGCAGAAACAAATGAAGAAAGCACTCGAGAAGACACCTATACGCTTGTTTGATAATGGACAGCCAGTGACAGTTCGAGACTACAGAGGACAAGACAAGTGGGTTAATGGAACCATCMACACACAACTAGGACCATTGATGTATGAAGTCAAAACAGAAGCTGGAAGTTATTGGAGAAGGCACACAGACCAAATCCAAGAAAGGAAGCATGATGAAAATCAAAGCGACCCTCAACCAAGACCAGCACAAGATGTCTGCCCAGCAGCAGTAGAACAGCCATCAGTCAGCACAACCCAGACAAGCAAGACAGTTGCCACCTCTAAGAGCAACATGGCGCATGAAGGACAAGGCAAAGGACATCGATACCCAACAAGGCACAGAAGCCCACCAAAACGTTATATGTATGAACMATATTAGGACAGTCATARGAGATATGAACATTCAGAGACATTATTATTGAGTTATTTTTTCTATAACAGTGATTCATAACTAAGAAGGGAGGAAATGTTAGATTTGCATTGATTGACACGTAATTGTATATGACGATTGCATAATAAAAACAAAATACACCACATCGGTATTCTAGGATTTTATGTATGCTGAAGCTRTCAAAGCCTTACGTGTAATGTTCGGAGCAGCAGCTGTAGTGTCTGGGGTTTGACAAAGCCCTTCTGTTGTTTTTTCTGTTGAGGGAAAGCGTAATAATTAAAACAACATCGCGCCGGATCCTTGTAGTTTTACCAGTTGTCTGGGCGTAACTGAAGATGTAGGACTTTTTTCTTTTTTTTTTCTTTCGTTTCTTTATATCTGTAAGTTTTGATTCATATTTTCGACGTATGTGTACTTGAATATATACGAGATATTGAGTTACAGGAAAAATGGCTGCACTTCACGAGAGTTGTCAGCGGTATACGCATGAGCACTGGAGGTATGTGCAGTATAATGTTTTTTTTCAATTTCAGTTATTCTGTTTGGCTCATTTGTTGTTGTAGTGGTAGTGGTATGAACAAATAGTGATTG